CGAGTTCCCTGCTTTGCATAACAAAAGAAGAGAGACGTTTCTACCGACATCTTTTACATATGCTTTAACTTATCTTTTCCAACTATGCGGAGCCTCTACACTCCGACACACTCATGACCTTCTCGTGATAGGATTTTTGCAAAGATGTAACAACTACACCCTACTATAACAGAGCTATCTGCATCGGGAGGTTATGTTTGGAACTTTTATGAATATAAATATCAAGTGAGTGATATCAATGCTTAGTAATAGCAGATTTTCACAACTCGGAACTTTTATCTAAGTCCTAGGACCTAAGACACATAGCTCAGAAAACACACACTCATTGTCGGATCGTGTCTTTTCTTGAAAGAACGCAGAGCATAAGTTGTAATCGCCGTGAATTCATGTTTTAGTCAGAGAGGTAGTCATAGAGAAAGGGAGAGAGAATCAGGACACGACAAGGTTTTATATCTATAAAACGGCACTAAGATAAATCCGGAATAGTAGCACTATGGTCAATATAGAAGAGACACGAGACCGTATGTCAGATATTCACTCTTATCTGGAATACTGATGAAATGGGTAATGATCGTGATAATATTGATGATTGATCCTCATTTGGTTCTGTCTACGGTTGTGGGCACACCTAAGGGGTGCCAAGCCTTCCTGTGATCCGATTGGCTCTCACAGATGCCGGGTCGCGCTAGTCTAACCCAGCGTCTGTACGCTCTCATCTTCAACAGTGCTATTATCTGACACCGTACTTCCTATCCCTTCTCTATTACCACAAGACTGCGTTATAAAAATATCTAAAATCAGCTCTTTAGCTTGTAATGGACGCTGCCTCGTCGCCGAGTGCGACCTAAAAGACGAAAATCAAGTGCTCGCATGGTTGGAATTAGAATCTTTGAACTATAAAAAGGATACGTCAACGTTACGAAACCAAGTTCGGAAAAGTTCATTGTGTGCTAGAGGCTGCCCTGCCCACGCACATTTACTAAGTGAAAACTGTCACTTACTAAGTATAAGGTGTTAGGATAACGTCTTAACATGGTTGGCAAGCGAGCGCCGCACCCCACCAACTTTTGTAACTTCAAAGCGATATATCTCAACAACGCGATAATATTATTGCTAGATATTAATATAGTAGACTACTCTATATTAATAGTATCAGCGTTGCATGTGCGCGAGTTGTGCCCGGTCTCCTTGCACCTGGTGCAGCGCCTTTGAGCCCGCTGGCTGACGCCTGATCGCGCTCCTCCTTGACGCTCTTCATGAGCAATCTGCTGGTCAGCCTCATTTTGAGCCAGTATATCCTCCCTAGCTCCCTTTGTGAGTACTCCATGCTTCTGTATACGCCTTTTAGAGCGCCGCCTACGCGCTGAGGCTGCGCTGTTAGCCTTCTCAAGACCAGAGATCTAATCGCGCATCACCTTAGCAGAGAACATCATCACCTTAGCGCCCTTCTTTAGCTAGTTAATTGCCTTAATAATCGAAGCTGGTGATGAGCTCTTGTGCTGGCGCACGCGCTCACGTATTAGGCTTGACTGAGCCTTAAGCTCACGCACGTTGCTCGGCGTTTAAGCTACCTAGGGAGCCTCTGGCAGAGCTGCTGCTGGAGGAGTAGGTGTACGCAGCTGTACATCTACCTTTGATAGAACAGCCTCTGGTTGTAGAGGAACAAGGCCTGCGCCGCGGAAGGCTAAGCAGATGTTGGCTAGTGTGAATGCTCTATTAAATGCTATCTTAAATGCTAGCAGAAACTCTAGCTTAGTGATGTGGTTGATGTAGTTGCGCATAAGGCTCTCCACCTCACGGCTGTACGCGCGCTTTAATGGCGAGAAGCAGCCAACATTAAGTAGCTAGAGTAGGTAAGATAAGTAAGGAGGCATACAGAGCGTATAGATATTATTCTCCTTACAGAGTTCCTAAAACTCTAGAGATTAGTGGCTCTTGTGGCTATTAATAATAAGCAGGCGACGCGCGCCTACAGTACGAGCCTGCATGTGAGCGTTGAAGTGCTTTAGCTACTTAACTCTAAGCTTATTATTTGTCCAGCCATTGTCGCTGACTGCGATCGCCTAGTCGCGTAGGATATCCTCCTTATACCACGCTAATAGGTGGTACTAGCCAGCGAAGATAAGGAATAGTAGCACTAACTAGCCAGCAGCGCTAATAGCAGCGATCAGCGTTACCTACTCGCGATTGCCTAGCTAAATACTCTTTGGCCTGCCTCTTCTCTCTGCTCCTGTTATAACTAGCTGCGTTGTAATCTTACCTATTATAAAGCCAGCTTTATTAAAGTTGTAGACGTCCTTATCGCAGATACCTTGCTCAGCCTTTATCTCTTCTACAAGCTTAAACCACCTCTTTATTAATGTCGCATCCTCACACATAGCTCTCTGTCTATCGTAAGCTTAGTTAAAACACGTCCGAAGACTGTCTGTACGCTTAACAAAGTTGGCTAGCCACTTCTACCTAACCTAGCTAGCGCCGCGTGCAGCTAGCAGCTTATCAGCTATATCACGTGCAGCTGCGTAGGTAGGCGCAAACCCGCGCTGATCGAGGTGAAGTATATAGCTAATAATCACCTCCTCTTCTCTCTGGGTAAGCTTCCTTGAGTTAGGCTGGCAATCGCATCGGGCAGGTATACCAGCGCGTCGGCGGCGGATTGATCGTTCGGATACGTTGTAGATAGCAGCAGCACTGCGATTACTCTGCACTTAATAAGAGTTGATAGAGGAGATAGCAAGTTGAATATCTGCTTCATTTAATAACGATAGAGTAGCGTTGCGTTGAGCCATTGTAGGTTGAAATCAGTGAGGTGCGAAAGTTGGTGGGGTGCGGCGCTCGCTTGCCAACCATGTTAATTGCTTTTTTATATTGCTATTAACTACAACAATACTGCGTTGTGAAAACCTGCTGCTAAGCATTGATATCACTTACATATAACTAACTGTATGTCGGATCGTGAGTATCGGTAGAGACGTCGGCTGCTTGACACTTCGGCCCGACTTCGGCCCAACTTGCGCTGAGCTTAGGTATACCTTCGTAGCACCTCTGTTCGTAGAGAATCAATACCAATACCAGTCACCAGAAGAACCTCGTCGTTGTTATTCACTCGTACGATCGTACAAGGCCTACCAACACTGTACCTATATAAAAAGGATACACTCAAGATACCAAGTTTTATGAGATTTTTTCAGCCAGACTGGCAACTTTCGCATTCTCAGATTTGCAAAATCACTTGAGCTTTATTGTATGGTTTTAGAAAAGCAGCTCATGAACATGATTTTTCAGCCACATGTTTTTACAGAAAAAGAATTTTCAAATAGAGGATATTATGAGCAGATAATAATGTAGGGGACAGAGAAATGATTTTGTCGAAGTCTTAGCCCGGCACTGGCTGCTTTACACCTTATACTCTATATAAAATTACGAGAGACTTTTCATCCGCGTGCCCCTAATATTTACAAGTCATCAAGGGCGACGCTGTAGTTTTTTTTGGAAGAAAAGCATAGAACATTACTTGTCTTTAGCCTGTTTTTAATATTTGGCCGCACTGGAAAGTTACGTGAACTGAGTAGAAAGAAGTACAAAAACACACAGGTTTACACCCCTCAGTTCCGCACAACCCGCCTCCCCACAAGTTTCAAGGATAGATATTTTAAGAGCTGAGCATTTGCGCACTCATAAGGCGTCTATCAGACCATTTAGAGACTAGAAAAGCCAAAACATGGCTGCCTACCACGATCATTTTTATTTTAATTTCCACAGAACAAGACCGTGTTGTGGATAAAGAAAGAAGAAGAAGAAGTGGAAGGAAGAAAGGAAGAATTTTAACCCCACAAGCCTGTGCTCATCGCCCCGGAACATACGATTAGGAGCTGTGTTTTTAAAAGGCTGGATAACCGCGTAACAAGGATGTCCCCGACATCCGCAAACTCATGATTTTGGCTTTAGTCACTTTTGAAACCGCAAGTCCGAGCACATAGACCGTAATCTCCATGATTATTAGAAGGATTTTCAATACACCAGAATGTTTGTAGAGGAAAAGAGAGGAAGGAAGTGGAGGAAGCAGCAGATTTATATACTCCCGGAACCAGGATTACAACATGAGTTCCTGGAAATTCTCTTTCGAAATTATTTTCTAGTAATTGGAAGGAAGAGGTCCCATGATTTTCTCGGCAGCGCATTTTTTTTATAGAAAAGCTGCACCGGGAAGGACGCGGAAGTTATAACCCCCGTAAAGCATACAGGAGAGGAAACCCCATAGATTGGTATGATGATATTTTTATTTTAAGAAATAGAAGTCGGGAAATGGCAGGAGTCCAGGAACAACACACATGTTCCACCAGGAAACAGTATTTGGTAAGATTTCGATGCAAGTTTTAGTAATGAGGAAAATAGCCAGGCGGACAGATTTTATACCCATACGGAGTGGGTCCGCAGCCTTGGCAAAAACTCATGACTGCGTGTTTGTGATGTTTAAGTCGCGTGTGTCTGCCTGGAAGCGCGAGGGGACAACACATTCGTTGAGCGGACGAGATTTCTGGTAAATTTAAAAACTGTTGGTAGGCCTTGTACGATCGTACGGGGTGAATGACAACAACGAGGTTCTTCTGGTGACTGGTATTGGTATTGATTGTTTTACGAACATAGCTGCTACGAAGGTACAACTAAGCTCTGCGCAAGGTGGGCCGAAGTCGGGCCGAAGTGTCAAGCAGCCGACGTCTCTACCGATACTCACGATCCGACAAAAACAGACTATGTTTTTTTTGTATGTAGATTGGAAGATTTTGATAAGTTAATTTAGGAAAGAACGACGCCGACTCAGACATCCTCACTGGCTCGTTCATTTTTGTACGTCAATTTAGGAAAAAAAGGTCGTCGGCACAGACATGTGTATCCATGCTATTAATTTAGGAAAGAAGACCGCCGACGCGGACATCCTCACTGGCTCGTTCATTTTCAAAAGGCGGAGAATGTAGTAGATAGCAAGTCAGATTTTCAGCATCTCATCCTGAAATTTCGCATTAGTGCTTAGAATCTGGGAATTTTCAGATTCACTCCATGCACCAGCGAAGCCGTACTTTTATTTTCGTAGATTGATATCGTCGACATTTTGGTGTGGGGTGTGTTATTGAGAAAGCAGGGAGGAGATCACATAGCTGCGGTCCACTTCATTTTCCGGATTTTATTTTCTGGGGGATGTTGCAGAGGAAAGGAAGAAAGGAGTTAAGTGATAATTACATGGTAGAACTAACCCCGTGACTAAGCACATGATTTGAGATTTTTGCTACCATATGACAAAAGCTTCAAAAGACCGAGAAATGAGCTCCAGATACCTCGAAATGTCTTACGTATCTTAGTTTCCAACACATCAGAAGCTCAGCGTATTGACCATTTAATCCTAATCTGAACATGGATCAAGTTCAGCGAACAGTGACTCATTGACCTCATCTTGAATCCGCATGTCAGCCCTATACTCTTCCTCCATGATGCGACAGAAATCCGATCCAGCGCTTGTTGGACCACTCGTGATATCATCACAGTCTTTGCACTGGCAGTATGCTGGCAGGAGCCGCATTTTACCACGACCGCATTTGCGCACTTTCTCAAGATAGCGCTCGAGTGCTTGGTCTAGCGTCTCGTCCCTGGGGCAGTTGGGCGAGCGAACAGCTGCATTGTAGACCTTTTGAAGGTCGTACGATTTGTATCGCCAATTCACGGGATAAAACGGATCTTCATCATCTTCTATCTTCTTGGGATTCGCCTTCACGCCGGCGCGGGTGAGCTGGGATTCCGTCATGTGGAAGAGACCGATGATGTCCATGCCGTCGATCCACTTCTTTTTGCCTTGGGAGTCGCGGAAACGAGCAGCAGGAGAGCCAGGGGCAGCAGATGTAGCTGCTGGTCCACTCCTTGCTGAGGGCGCTTTGGAGGGCGTAACTGCTGGTTCGGTCTTCTTGGCCTCTGAATCCCAATGTACAATCGCCCTTCGCACGATATGGCCCTCATCTAGGTCCTTGCATGCCTTGGCGTTCGTGAGCATCCATGTGAGGTAGTTGCCCTTTTCCGAAACCTGTTCATGAATCTGCTTGATAGTCTTGCCTTTGTATTTGCCCGTCTTCAGGATGTAGTGGGTGTACGGGTCGCTCTCTGCACGAGCACAATACTCTTCGTTTGTCCCTTTATCCAGCGTTTCTTTTTCGGGCTCGAATTTGTTTTTATTGTAGGGAGTCCTCACTAGCCCCAGGTTCTGCCTGATGATCGGAACGGCAGCATACTCGGCTGGTGCAGCGTATTCAAAGTCCCACTTATCCTGTGGGTCTAGGGCTTGTGCTGTGACTATAAACACTTTCATCACGTTAGCCCCTATCCTCGATTCAATGCGAACCAACACTTACCGATTGTGCGTACAGCCAGCAGAGAAAAGATAAGAAGTGGGAGAAAGTATACCAAAGGCGGGGTCGGTTGGAATGATAAATGCTGAGATTATCGCTAAAGATAGTTCGACAAGGGTTAGGACAGATGACCGCGAACGACTTGTCGCTTTGCCCTTTCAAAACGAAGCGCAAAGCAAGTCTACCATGGGTATGATACTATAGGAAGAGCGCTACTTGTGATTTGGCGTGCGTAACACCCCAGACGCATCCGGAAGAATGCTTTGCCTACATGATAGTTGAACATCGATACAGCTCTTATCTGCTCCTTGTTCCGTGGTCCCCGCTCGAGCGCCGTCACGCCCTTTGCAAGGAACAGTATAATATAAAACACGATTTACGACAATCAATGCGATTGAAAGATGTAAAGTTTGGTAGAGGGTCGACGGTTCGCGGGTAAAGTGCGGAGATCCGCAGTGGGTGATGAAGTTTGGGGGTAGCAGGGCCTGAGTCCAAACCAAAACGAGCCTAGTTAACTTAGATACCAGCTTGCCGCATTCCCCACACGACGAAACTGCCCAAATGAGCTACCTCGACGCCGTGCTGTTCGTGTCGCACCGAACCCGATCATCCCGCCATACATTGACGACTTGGAATTCCGGATCAACGGAACAAAACCATGTCAGACGATCAGACATCTTCGGTGACTGCACCGGCACCATACCACGTCTCAAAGTCGAATATCTGTGTAGACAGCAAAGGCGAGAGCAATGGTAATGGTGTCTTCGCCAATCGGAGGTTCGGTGCAGGCGAAGAGGTTGCAAGCTTCAAGCGGCCACTCGTCGGCTCCTTGGAAACGGAACGGCTGCTCGACACGTGTGCAAACTGCTATATGTGGACCGAAGGGTCCTCAACAGGTACACGATTATATGTACCGGAAGGGGTAAAAGTGGACAAGTGTGCCGCTTGCGCACGATTCCGATATTGCAGCAAGGTATTTGAAGCTGTATCTGAGACGATTGCTAGTAGGACTAATTCGGGTAGGCATGTCAAAAGGCAGCATGGAATCGCGGGCACAAGCATGAATGCAAAGTCCTGAAGCCGATGGCCGGCAGAGGACTCCCAAAGGCATTTCTCGCATGTATAGAACTACTCACCAGGCGGAAGCATGGGCTCATTTCCGACCAAGATTGGGAAATGGTTTGTCGCTTACCGTCTCATGTTGATGACTTTAAGCGGAAGGGAACATACGGAAACATTGAAATGATGGCAATGGGCGCACCGCAGTTTGCATTGCCGCCTACCATGTTCGACAAGGACTTTATCGCCGCCATGTACGCTCGAGTAAGTCACCACGCATTCTTAAAACTTGCGCTAACTTGTACAGGTAATGTCGAATGCACTAACCATCATTACCCCTACACTGGACCCTCTAGGCATCATCTTGGACCCTACACTTTGCAGCCTCAACCACTCCTGCGATCCCAACGCTTTCATCATGATGGATGGTCCATCCGTCAGCATACGTACACTCCGACCCATCAGGAAAGACAAGGAAATTTTCATCTCATATATCGACACCACATACCCGTACCACAAACGACAGGAAGAACTCCAAACACGTTGGTTCTTCACATGTCGATGTGCAAAATGCCAGGAAAAGGCTACACTTCAGGAAGACAACTGGCTCTTGCCAGTAGATTCAAAGTTTGTTTTGGACGCGGAAGCGAAAAAGGCCATGGCCCAAACCCAGGAACAGACATTTGCGGTATATGAAGAGCTTCACAAACTATCCACCGAACATGTCATCTACGGGCTCAAGCAAATCCTCGCTAGCTGCTACGAATCTCGCTTTTACCCCATATATCGTCAACCTTATGCCGAAGCCCGCGATGTCCTCATTGTCAACCTCCTCTCGATGGGAAAGTTCCAGGATGCATGGGCACAATGCGCAAAGCGGTACAAGTACATCTTACCGAAGCTATACCCAGTACCTTTCCATCCCGTCAGGGTGGTGCAGACGTGGCAAATGGCGATGCTCGCTGCGTATCTTGCCAGCACGGAAGAAGGCGTCGGGGCTCCGGGTGTCAACATGGGGTTGATAGCGATGATGTTGGTAAAGCAAGTATTGGACGTTGCACATTTAAGCCACGGACCAAACAACGCGTTTACAAAGAGTGTGAAGGGAAAGGCAGAGGAGATGATTGAAGAGCTGAAGAGAAGTGTGGGGAACCCTGATAACGCGGTTATGAATCGGGAGTTGGAGGTTCAGAGGGATAGGTTGATGGAGATGGGGGATTGGGCGGAAGACGGGAAGATATCGAAACCTCTGAAGCAGGTTAAGCTGGTGGAGGAAGCGTTTAGTGTGTAGTAATATCACATAGTCTTTTACATGCCAGATCATTCACTCCTCACGCAACTATACTAACATGCGCAATTCTATCTAGGCATCAACATCTTAATCTCGCTTACACCTAGGCAGCGAGGTCTAACCTCCACTTGAACTAACACTCTCCACGTAAAGGTGAGTGCAAACACCCACCACGTGCCCCCAACCTCTCACCTCACCAGCTCCGCGCGCAGACCGCAGCCTCACTCGCGCATAAATGCGCGCGCAACAAGAGGAGTGAGCCCGACTATTTCAGCCCGTCCCCCATCTCTCTCCTCCATCATCTCAACACCGCACTCTGAGATTCTTCGTACCTCATCTCCCACCACAACACATCCAGGCACTCGCCTCTCCACCACATCGCCATCACCACCATGCCACCCAAAGCCACCCCCGACGCCAGCCAAAAAATGTACTCGGCCGACGTCGTCGCCGCCGTCCTCTGCAGCACCGGTACCACCAGCCTGTCCAACAAGAACTACGAGATGATGAGCGCGCTCGACGGCAAGAAGACGGCAAGTGCATTCCAGCATGACTTCCGGGCCGTCATTGCCAAGGCCAAGGAACTCAAGGCGCGGGTTGAGGAGGGCGAGGCGTTTGAGCCTGTTGCGCCGGCTAGTCAGCGTAAGGGCAAGAAGTTAGGTGAGTGTTTTTTGTAGAGGGTCGTGGGTGTTGGTAGTGGGTGGATGGTGGTGGCTTGATGGGTATGAGGGAGTTGCCACTATCCACTACACCATCCACCAAACCACACCTCTCCCATCCCATCCCACACCCCACTCTTCCATCCAAACACAGACTAACCCCCTTTAGCCTCCACCCCCACCACCCCCAAGAAGCGCAAACCCACATCCACATCCCCCGACTCCGACTCCAACTCCAACACCAACACCCCACCCCCCAAGAAGAAGACCAAGACTCCCACGCCCAAGAAACCCACCACCACCACCACCAACACTACCGCAAAGACAACCCCGACTTCAAAGACCAGCAACGACGCCGACGAGGCTCCTTCCCCCCCACTCGACGACGACGAGGAGTTGCAGTTTGCCACTGACGAGAAGATGCCGTTTGACGTGGACACGTTCATCAAAGAGGAGATGGAGTGGGAGCACAACTTTGGTGAGTTTGCTTAGGTGTGGGTGGGTGGGTGGAAGAGTAGAAGTAATGGAATTTGAGATTTCGCTGGATGGATGGGGTATGGTACTGGGATGGAATGGGGTAGGATGGAACGGGATGCGAAAAATGTAGTGTAAAGACAACTCCCGATCTGCGGATAGGTACATCCTGAGAGGGTTCGTGAAATGCAATGCTTACTCGCATTATCATGTGGATGTTTGCCGCGTTCTTGGTGAGTGCTTACTGGTGTTGTTCCGCACCCACACACATATCCACACACGCTTGTACATACCCGGGTGAGATGGAAGACTCAACAAAGTACTGTATATACGTCACTGTATGCGGCAGGCACCCACCTACCTACCCTCATCTATCCCACCCATCCCTCCTCGCCAAAACCAGTTGAAAGCAGATTTTCCATTTCTTCAAACGGTGCGTAGCGAATGAACAAAGTGATGATGATAACACACGCGTAAATAACAACAGCCCAGCCGTTCACTCCCGCCGTTCTCGCAAAAGTACCGACTTCCACGCGGCAAATACGATGGTGGGCATGGGATGATACGCCATCTGAAAGCTCATCTTACCGAGAGTCATGCCTGCCTGGCACTACGCACAACACTCGGTAGGTGCAGCGCAGTGCAGTGCAAACTAACCAAGTTGCCAAGGGGATAGCAGAATGTGTGCGAATAATCGATAAAACAAATAACCCACGGTCATTATATCATACCTATACCTACCTATACTTAGGTGTAAGTATACTTACCTATACCACACAGCATCCAAACATGACAACATTTCGCAACACACGGCCCTCTCGTCTCAACCCCCGGCGCCCAGACGCCCGGGGTGCGGTACCGCTCTCTCACCTCAGCGTTCCCTGTCAAATTTCCTTTTTTTTTTTTTACAGTGGAGACGCATCATCAATGTCGGCCCGTTTTTGGTCTTGTCCATTTCACCCATTTGTGACAGTTGTTCCGTGTCGGCCGCCGTGTGTGCGAACAAGACGGTAAGTACATGGGATGGGATGGGATGGGATGGGATGGGGTGTCAGTGGTGGGACCTTATCACCGGTGTCGCACCGGCCACCAATCTGCGCAAACGATACCGGTGTAGGGAAAGGCGGACTAGGGGCTAGGGGGTTCCCCGTCGCTGATCGATGAGGTAAGTACAGTAGATTGTGACTATCCTATCGCGTTGGTTTGTATCGATAGGGGTGTGTGTGTGTGTGTGTGTGTGTGTGTGTGTGTGTGTGTGTGTGTGTGTGTGTGTGTGTGTGTGTGTGTGTGTGTGTGTGTGTGTGTGTGTGTGTGTGTGGTGCTGTGGTGTTCGAGGCGCAGTGCAGGATGAGGGTGGGCATGACGTCTGTCTCCGTGGCTGGGTTGCGCCTGTCGCGGTCACAAGACAAGTACCCTGCAGCAGTGTAAAAGTTGTATTGTATGCTGGAGTCGGTAATGCATGAGAACGGAGATGGACAACGGAGAAGAAGGCCGCATACTTGTTGTGGCGACGGAAAACTTTGTTCCTGGCATGGAAGCGTTGTTGCTTTGTTGCCGAGGCGGCAGGGAATGTCGATGCCGGACATGTTGTTGCTGTGCATTGCTTGCTGTTCACCGGCGCAACTTA